TTGATTGACCTGATCATTACTCTTGTGTGTGTTAAACACAATTTGCTAAATATAGACAACTTAATTTTAATGAAAAATAACAACTGAAAAAATATCTCATCATAAGCTATGACAAAAAATACTATTATAATAAAGTATACAGTAATGAAGGCAGCAACATATGATAGATAGAACAGAACAAAAAAGACTTTTGATAATCTTTCATTGCGCAAAATACAAAATATTAAAATAAATTTAAATAAAAATAATAATAATTTTCATTCTTTTAAAATATAAGAATTATACTATTATGTAAATTAATCAACTCAATAAAAAATATATTACTATTACGCCTGCACCCTTTGAGGGGGGCAGAAGCACCTTTAAACAGTACCATATCATTCATAATTACAACACATTTGTAATGAAAAATGTTGTCCATTTAAAATATTAACTTTAAATGTAATATCTAATAACAGGCAATATAACAAAGAGTGAAAAATTTAAGGGGGTCTGAATACTTTCCGTACCCACTGTATGTGTCAAGAAACAAACTCATGAATCCGTGCTCTAAGTACACTTACGTAGCCTTTATTTCATTAATATTATATTATCTGCAAGCACAGTTTTTACAGTCTGAGAAGTAGAAACGCACCAGTTTGCGGTTTGAACGACTCTGACAGAATCACAGCAGTTTTAAATGTAGGCCTTTAGTTTTGAGAAATATACGTTAAAGCAGCTTGCCATACTCGAGACGCGTTTTTAAAACTATAGCTAGACAACTTTTCCAGTTGACATGTCAACAGTGCTCAGGGAGCGAGTGGCTAAAAAACAGAGAGACGCGACGCAAAGACGTCCATCTGACGCGGGTGTACAGAGACAGAAATAGCAATTACAAAATAGCCAGAACGCCCCCTAACAGGTTACAGGCGTTACACTGGAACTGTTCTGATACAGCACACAAACTAAAAGGGAAAAGCGACATGAAGTGAGAACAATAATGCCATTATGATCCATCTACTATCCCAGGCTGTGTCAAAAAACCGAATGAACCGCCTACATAGACAGCAGCATCGGGCATCATAGGCGCGTTCCGAGCCCGATCAGCTCACAGACCAAGTATGCTGTCTAGGTAGGGAGCCTGCTGGGTTTTGGCACGCGGCGGTGTGTGGAAGTGTTAAACAGATAATTGCTGATGCAGTTCACAGATTCACACGTACTTTGGCCCTGCTGCTTAACAGCAACGCTGCGACCTAAACGGAGCTGGATCTGGTACCTTTAAAACGCGTATTCCCGTTGCCGCTCGGGCTGTCGGTGCGGGGGCTCGGTCGGATCCCGCTTCATGCAGCACCGGGTTCAGCGCTGCTCCGCTGCCCGCCCGGCCATCCTCCACATCGGCTGCATTTCTCCGCTCCGTGTCGGCGCTCTGGAGCGACCGCGCTGTGCTTTCCTCGTCCTTCATTTCGCCTACATTTGACGTCTTTCAGCACAGAAATCCAGATGTAAGATAGCAATTGGCGACAGATAAATTCCGGTACAGGAGGCGGTAGAAAAAGCCCATCCTGATTTGATGAGACGCCATAGTGGGACTGAAGCGCACGGCTGTCAAATAAACTCAATAAATAAACATGAGGGGGCGGCGCTAATTATTATTCATAGAACACCGCCCATTTCCTATACCTCTGTTGCTGAATTATTCATGAGCATACTTAATCTAAAACTGGTGATTTTAAATGGGTCATCACAAATTTTTATCAATCCCATTTCATTCAGAATTCAACACAGGTTGAACATTTACTGAGTACATAGCTCTCCAGAAAAAGTACAAAAAAAAATATATATATATATATTGACCATTTCCTTTAGGTAACCAATATACATTTTGTTCCTATTGTAAGGGTTTCTGATAAACATAAAAATGACACTTCCTCCATCAGCAGTCAGCACTGTTAAAAAAAAGTACATCAGGTCTGTAAAGCTAGTGAGATTTGGAGTCATTCACTCTTATCAAGAATCACTGACCTCTGGCACCCAAACTGGAATGACTAGCTCTTCTTGTGCAATGTGTTTTGAAGCAGTTAAACTTTAAACTGAACGTACATTTTGTAGCACGCTATAAATCAGTCATATTGAGATAAGTCTGACGTTTTAGAAAAATATAATGCATAATGTCTGTGATGATAAACATAACAAGGTTGAGTAAGAAAGAAGACGAGGAAGAAACGAGGCCTTTGATAAGTTAGATGGACTGGAGTGGTGTGGATTATTGTGAGGTTTTTATCAGCTGTTTAGACTCTCATTCTGACGGCACCCATTCACTGCAGAGCATCCATTGCTGAGACACTGATGCAATGCTACATTTCTCCAAATCTGATGAACAAACTCATCTACATCTTGGGTCGCCTGAGGGAGAGTACATTTTCAGCAAATGTTCATTTTAGGGTGAACTTTTTCTTTAAAAGCTTCATTTTTTTCTGTTGGGTTTTCTGGTTGGAGGACATTTTAAAAGTTGTTCAAGCGGGAAAAAAACAGGTTGCTTTTTTACTATTATTTTCACAAATACAGCACTGGAGTCACCTGAACAGAACAGAGGGTCTAATCTAAAATACAAATAATTAATTTTGATTTATGATAGCTGTCTCTTGGCTGTGGCAAAGTTTCCAATCAAGCTGTAATATTGATGTCCATGCGTTGGACGTTGCTAGTGGACAAATTTAGCTGAACACCTTTCAAAATGCAATGCAACTTGAGTACAAATGCTGAGATGGAGACAGACATGTGATCACGTCATAACTGCAATATAAAATTTTGCAATCAGTGATAATTTTTTTCCCCCCTGCATCTCATCCCTGCAGATAAAGAAGGTCTTCACTGAGGTGTCAAAGGTAATTTTATTAACAGTTTAAAAGGATACTTATTAAAGTATCAGGTTTTAATGATACTTTGATCAGACCCAAGATATAAAACATGAATAAATGCAATAAATGATCATCATTATTATGGTCGTCAGAAGTGATGGTTTAAAGTAAAAAATAAATAAATAAAAAATAAAAAAATGCCTTAATGTTGGATTTGTTTCTTACAAGCAAAGGGCCTTTCTCTTCACAAGACGTTAGATGGACTGGAGTGGTGTGGATTATTGTGAGGTTTTTATCAGCTGTTTGGACTCTCATTCTGACGGCACCCATTCACTGCAGAGCATCCATTGCTGAGACACTGATGCAATGCTACATTTCTCCAAATCTGATGAAGAAACAAACTCATCTACATCTTGGGTCGCCTGAGGGAGAGTACATTTTCAGCAAATGTTCATTTTAGGGTGAACTTTTTCTTTAAAAGCTTCATTTTTTTCTGTTGGGTTTTCTGGTTGGAGGACATTTTAAAAGTTGTTCAAGCGGGAAAAAAACAGGTTGCTTTTTTACTATTATTTTCACAAATACAGCACTGGAGTCACCTGAACAGAACAGAGGGTTAAGATGAAAAACAACAGAACAGAATATGAATGATTATTGTATAATTCATTCTATATTTGTCTGGACATCAGGAATACTCGTTTCATTTTGGCTTCTATGACATATTGCAGTTTCAAAGTTTAACACAAGAGGGTGATAGCAGACTAAATAAAGCTCAAACTACATCATTCATTATGGTTTTCCAGACTCCGCTCGGTTACAAATGAAGAAAACCACTTATTTACAAAACACAACATCAAGTTCGACAGTTTTATTATTTCATTTGATAATTTTCTCCAACCCAAAGACAATAATACACAGCATAAGTCTAAAATATCCCATGTCATTTTCATCCATCATCATGAATTCAGTCCAAAACTCGTTCCTCGAGGACATGGACTTGCGATTCAGTTCAGCATGTCAGACTCATTGGGGTCGTCCTCCCCTCCTGCACAAGTTCAGATGTGTTGAACAGCAAGTGTAAAATATCTGAGATGGGGGCACATGTATAGATACACTTCAAAAACAACCGACACCTTTACAAGATTACAAAGAGATTCTGGTGGAGAAGGCAATCATCCAAGCATGTGATACAAAGTCCATCTGGTCAAGCAGTTACACCCAAACAAATGACGCTCAATTCCCCCTGACTGACAAGTCTTCTGCACAGGAAAGAAAATCTGCTTCTTAATGAAGATTAATTGGAGAATCAACATATTTCCAAATGTACAAAGGTCTGTGCATGTATCGCATGATATAGTGAATAGTGGTGACTTGAGAATTCGAACTTAGCTTGCATTGCCTCAGGAAGTTTACATAAAGACTAGAAATGACAATATTTACATTGCTTTTTTTCACATGCGGCTGAAAAAAAAATCATTTTGGTGTGAGAAAACTTGCTGAGAGATGTGGCAAGTTCACAAATGGTTGTTTCGCCCTCTTCAATGCGCAAACATCTTTGTGTAAGAGGCAGCAGATTCAGAAAGTCGGGTTTTGAAACGGCTCTCGCGCAGAGCCATTTACTATTGTTACGCACCTCTCGACCCACACAAAAAGATATTTTGAAAAATGTTGGTATCCGAACAGTTGATGGTCACCATTGACTTTCATTGTATTTTTTTTTTTCCTACTATGGAAGTCAATGGTGCTCATCAACTGTTCGGATACCAACATTTTTCAAATTATCTTTTTGTGTTCAACAGAAGAGAGAAACTCATACAGGTTTGGAACAAGTGGAGGGTGAGTAAATCATGACAGAATTTTCATTCCGGAAGTTAACTTATCCTTTAAGTTCACTCAAGAAGCATCAAAACATTCAGGGATGAGACCATGTTCTCCTACCTGGGATATTACACATTTCCTAACAGCGTTTTATCTGAAGTTGTGCCTCAACTCCAAAAGCAAGGATGCATTAAATGACAGTAGAAACATTAAATATGTTACAAAAGATTTATATTTCAAATAAATATGAATACACTAGCGTACACTACTGTATTTTGACCAAATAAATGCAGCCATGGTGATCATAAGAGACTTCTTTCAAAAACATTAAAAAATCTTGCTGACCCCAAACTTTTGAATCAATAGGTGTTTATATCATATATAGGGAGTTTTTACCTCAACCCCATGGCAATAAAAAAAAAAAAAAAAAGACCGTTTAGGAATATGCATGAGCCTAAACTGCATGGAAAAATCAGTAGAGGTGGTTTGTGGGTAAACTAACTATAAACTTTGGTTTTTAAGCTTTCCTCAACATAGCAATGTTACTATAAAGAGGTCTGAAGACCTTTCAGGTCATTCCAAACCTGCATGACTTATTCTGTGGAGCACAAAAGATGTTAAAGTTGAAAAAAGTCTCCTTACAATGAAAATCAATGGAGTCTAGTCTTGATTTGGACAAAAACTGCTGACACATTCAAAATATTTTCTTTTGTGAACAGTCATTCATACAGGTTTGAAACGACATGAGGGCGAGTTAACGGGTTAGTTCACCCAAAAATGAAAATTAGCCTGTTTTATACTCACCCTCGAGGCATCCTAGGTGTATATGACTTTCTTCTTTCAGACGAACCCAGTCGTAGTTATATTAAAAATTGTCCTGGCTATTCCAAGCTCTGCAGTTAGCGGGTGTTGCAGTTGAACAGTCCACAAGTTGTCAAATAAAGCGCGCGCATTCATAATAAACGTGCCTCACACCGCTCCGGGGGGTGTGTACAGGCCTCCTGTAGCAAATCCATGCATTTTTGTAAGAAAAATATCCATATTTCAAAGGTAATAAACACTTTTTCTCACTTCCGTTATCTGTCATACGTGGAAGCCATTCTGGCGGATGACGTAGCACGTATGCGCAGCCCACACGCCTGAGATATGCTAGTCTCGCGAGTTTGTTTATAGGATCAAAGGAAGCAAAGTTTCCTTACTTTAGCAAAGGAAGACCAGTCTCCTCTTGGTTTATATCGAGAAATCCTCCGACATTTTTCTTTGCAAATCCTCGGTATTTCTGATTCATGACCGGCGTTCATCACTAATCACGCAACGCCAACGTCTTACGTCATCCGCCGGAACGCCTTCCGCGTATGACAGACAACGGAAGTGAGAAAAAGTGTTTATTACGTTTGAAATATGGATGTTTTTCTTACAAAAACGCATGGATTCACTACAGGAGGCCTTTATTCACCCGCAGCGGTGAGGCGTGTTTATTACGAATGCGCGCGCTTTATTTGACGACTTGTGGACTTTTCAACTGCAACACCCGCTGACTGCAATGATAGAGCTTGGAATAGCAGGACAATTTTTTATATAACTGACTGGATTCGTCTGAAAGAAGAAAGTCATACACCTAGGATGCTTCGAGGGTGAGTAAAACACGGTCTAATTTTCATTTTTGGGTGAATTAACCCTTTAAATGACAATATTTTTTGTTGGGTAAACTATCCCTTTAAATTGCATTATGTATAACTGGGAGTACATGAGAAAAAAAAAAAAAGCTGATAACCAGGAGAAATTACATCCATATGCAGCATTTCATTCTTTCAGTAGTACATGACTGCGATCCACCGCACATCTAGTTAAAACAAAGCGAACTCAAGGTCATGTGCACATTATTACACCCCTAACTGAACATCATAGGTCTTCAAATGGGGTTTTTATTTGATTTGATCTTTTTGATGCGTTTTACAATTATATACAATATACAGGCAGCACATAGTACATTTTCTTTCCAATAAACAATCAAACAGGTAAGTTGTTAAATTAGACTACTTTCTGAGGGACAGCTTCAAACATTATACACTGTGTGCAGTACTGGAAGCAAGTCTTAGAAAACGGGATCTTAAAAAGGGATGAAAAGAAACAACTGATGCATCTTAAAAGCCCTCAGTATGTACAGAAAAAGCCAAGTAATCGAAAGAATCGCACTAAAACACAAAGAGGCTAATAGAATGAGAAGTCTTTTTTTTTTTCTCTCCATATACATAACATTGCTAAAAATATTTCCCAAGCCCAAAGAACATCTCTTGATTGGTCACCAGACCTCAGTGTGGCACAGCGAATGCAATTACGCAAAGTGATGAAGAAAACAGAGCAGCGAGAGATAACATGAGGGTACGGACGCAAAGAGAGCATTTCAATGACTTGATGAAACGGTCACAGTACTCTCCCGAGTCGACAAAGACAAAACAAGAAGACAATGTGAGGTATATGAGTCAGAGTGCACTATAGTGACAGATTAAGTGAGAGTGCACAGTGCGCTAAGTGCAAGTGTGAGCATGGACATTTTGCACTAACCCCGAAGCAGAGAGAAAGACAGACGGGCAAAGAAACAAATGAAAAGATATGTATTGAGATATGTGATTTTTCTTAATCATTGTCGCTGTAATTGTCTTCAATCATCAGTCTTCATACCATCAACTCTTGACTGTGTCAGGAAGATTCCACTGCTTCCCATGCAACCCCAGGGCAGCGATCTGTGGTGATGTCACGGGGGATCATTTGGGAATGGGGAGGGGACATCTTTCCCATAGTTCCCTTGCTGGGGGTCTTTAAGATTGAGAAGGGTAGCAAATCACTGCCAGGACTGAGGGGGGAAATTGTTGACCTCGGCCAGGTCTTGTACAGGAGAGCCTTTGTGAGTGTATGTCAGCTTGACCCGCATTCGCAACTGTTGCTGTAATAAAAGAGGAAGTCAGGCACAGGCTAAAGGCAAAATTTGCAATTATTAAAAATGATATGACATTATGATGTTTATCCATAAAATGGAGTCCTTAATTGCTGTAAACGCAAGCATTACTGGTGACGAACTAGAGCTGCGCAACTGCCATGTGACAAGCTTCAACTTCAGAGCAAAACCAGCCAGATTTCAAACTCTAAAGGCAAGCATCTCACTAGCTGATTTTTCAGTTGATTTTCTGTAGTAAACTTCATTGACGTTGTTGGACAATCAGAGGGAGCTTTGCCAACAAGTTCAGTTCAGGCACTGGGAAAAGCTCTCATGCTCTTGGCAGTGACTAGCGAGCTTCCTCTGATGCTGAAAACCACTGTTCTTGCTCTGATTTCATCCAAATCAGACTTCTGAACATGTTTCAGGATCAATGGACTGATCTCTGAAGATCTACTGCAACAGCAAGCAGAGTGTGGCCTCACAGTAACATCTTACCTTCTGTGGGTTGAGAACCCTGATGACCTGCGTGACACTTCCCTGGTTGAGTGCTGGGACTACATTACTGCTGGGGGACAGGAGCTGCAGCTGGAATGTCTAAAAACACAAACAAATGATTAAGCATTTGACTGGAGCAGAAATTATACAATAATCGTGTTTGCATGCACATGAATATTCCAAAATTAATAGGAATTTGTTCATATTCTGATTGTGTATGCATCACATGAATTCATTAACCTGATTTTTTTTTTTTTAAATCACGACAAAGACTTTAAGACCTGCACAAATACAATACTGTATGTTCATACAGAACAAACCCATACAATCTCAAAATAAATTATATCTCAGATTCCTTGTCTTAATTAAACAGGCTGTGGCACACATTCAACTGCAAGTTTAAAATACTCAAGACGTGTTTTATTCAATATATACATTAGAGATGGGAAGATTCCCCGATTCGCTCGGTGCATCGGCATTAAAAGTTAAAGATGCGATGCATCGGTTTAAAAAGTGAGCATCGGCTACAAGTTGGCATTTATATCGCGATGCATCGTTTCTAACATATTTGCATCGATAAAAACTGATTTATTAATATATAATTACTAGTGGATGCGCTATACTTTTATTGTTTAGAAAGTGACCAATAATCTGTGACCAATATTTTATATGTAGACTGATTTCTCCTCTCTAAACTGTTTCTCAAGCGCGTTCTCTCATCACTGCTGCTGCGTGATTGTGACGCATCACCACAACACTACAGAGACCTGAGGAAAAATGGGGATTAAAGTCCAAAACCTGACTTAAACCTGAAACCTGAAATAACCTAACAAATCAATCGGGGCTAAAGCGGTTCCATAAATGACTAATTAAGTTCACACAATCTCACCAATTTGTGCACGTTTATTCTTAAGCAGCCCTTAATGTCGATCATGGATCAAATCGATCCACCATCGCAAACGGCGAATATATCTGTGCCGTTTAATGCATTTGAGACGTTGTGTTTTTCTCAGTGCATAACTGACATGTCACAAAATCACGCAAACATATTCATTTCGCTGTCAGGAGTGAGCGAGGCAAGCGAGAGCAACGAGCGCTGCTGCGCGCATGCACGCTAAACAGAGAGCGCAATCGAATAGGAGCACAATAATTCTGAGTAAAATATACATTTTGCTAAAATATTTGTTGTTGGACAATAAATGTGTCTTTTGTAGAATTTTAAACCTACATATAACAGTGATTTTAACTTTTAATTTAGTTATTTTAATGCTTTAAAGAGCAATTTTAGATTATAATGTTCTGCTATCTGAACTATAAATGGTACAGCTGTCATAAAACCAGAGAAAGGCTGCATGGCTAGAAACTGTAAAAAAAAAAAAAAGAGGCAAATAATAGTATGTGAGAGAGTAGTAATATCATTGGGTTCCTATTGGTCAGTGTTAGAAGAACTCCGCTTAGTCTGACAGTTAACCTGCTTTAGACCAGGTTAGTTTCCCAGCATAAGTTGCCACAGTGACTAAGCTTGATCTAGGCCCATGTTAAATTTGTTTTATGGAATCAAATAATTTGACAATGAGTCAGACTAACTGAAATAAGCCTTATGAAACAGGCCTCGAGGCATTAAAAGTGATCATATTTTCTCCATTGCATTGTATTGCATCGAATCGCATTGTTTTGAATCTAATCGAAATCGGATCGCACCGCATCGTAACAGGGGTGAATCGTATGGCATCGGTAGCTGCTTCAGATGTATCTTTAATGTATCGTATCGTTGGCTATGCATCGAGATGCGTATCGTATCGGCCTGAGTCATGAGATGCACATCCCTAATATACATACATGATAAAACTGGTTAATGTACTAAAATACCATTACATATGAATTATAGGTTGTTCAATATTGGATTTCTCTTATACAATAATGTGTTCAAATAAAGCAATTAAAAAGACTATTGTGCCAATACTGGTAAAATCAATATACTAAATGTGTTAATGTCATTAGCCTTCTCTTCCTGTGACGGGGCAGAAGAGACAAGAAGCCATAAAAGCTTACATTGAATTAAATGCCAGATACAATTTTTGGGTAACCAAAATGCCAGTAAAACCCAGAAAAAAAAAAGAAAAGAAAAAAAGTTTATGCATTATGTGGAACTTTTAATTATAAACACGCCAGAAATACACTGGGACTTGTTTTGAAACGTCTATGCTTTATTGCCTCCAGCTGCTCATTCAAAAAGATGAGATAAAAATATGCTTTCTTATAACCTTCTACAACATGCCTTTTGACTTGCAGCACTCACATTTATTTAATTAAATGATAACCTTTTGAAGTTTAATAATCAAATTAGACTAATCACAATTCCTGTTTTTCTATCCCCAAATTTAAGACCTCTTAAAATGACAATTAAGACTTTTGTTATACCATTTTAGATATTTCTTTTTTACTTTAATGTGATCAATCTGAAGTTCGGTTTTAATGATAATTATAATATGAAACGGTAATACTAATCGTGGGGAATTTTATCAGGATTTATCGTCAAACCGGTAATCGTTACATCAGTGTGTTGATGTTTATTAAAGACTCCTTTACTTCTACTCCTCCTTCGTGTGCCTTTCCTACAACCACGACCGCGTGACACATAGATAAATACAACAGAATATGTTACAAATAAAATAAGGTTGGTAGTATTCAAATACAGAAATGTAATAATTAGGGAAAATAACACTGCATAGTGTTCACTGTATAAATTAAATATAGATTTTTATCACAGCTGTTTTGTTGTTTGATGATCATTAATGACAGCAGCAGTATTTATAGGCCGCTGTCCCTTTAAGACCTGATACACGGATCCGATATAATGATACACATCACATCTGATTTCTTTCTTAGCTTTTTTCCTTCACTTGAAACATAACTGACTGCGTTTACCTGAATGATTGTCGAGATGGGTATTTTGTCATAATTTTATATATATGTGTCTGTTCAGAGGATTCAGAAGAGGATTCAGTTCAGTGTTCGCGCGCCGTTTTAAAACGAGCGAGTAACGAATCGAGTCCCTTTTGCCTTTTCTCTCTGGAATTGTTTAAAATTCGCTTGCTTGTGTAAATACGAACAAATGATAAACTTATACTCTATTACGGTTACATTTTGCAATTAATCCACGGATCACATGCGTGCCGAACCGTGGGGCTTGAACCGTACGGATCACGGATCAACTATGGTCCGTTTAACCACTAAGGTTAACTAACTAGGGTTCTCAGTAACAAGAACTACTAGAGGGAAAAGAACAAACCTTTGGTACTGCAGCCTGGAACACAAATTCTGTCATGTCAGCCTCGGTGGAGTTGGTGGCATGGATGGTAATAACTGCAATATTGGGATTGGGGTTGGCCCTCTCAAATGTGAACTCAATTTTTAGACCATTTTTGTTGTACGCCGTCATTGGCGGAATGCCTGCAAAACAGAAACAGATATGATAATTGCACTGTCCTATTTTGCATTAACCACTACGATGAAATTTAATGCAAGCTCACCCGGTGCAATGTCATTGAAGAGGGGCTGCGAGGCGAGACCGTCCAAAAGGAAAGGGTGCTGGGACAAGGTCACAGAGGGAGCAGGGGTGGGAGTCGGACCACCTAAGGAGTGAGAAGGTACAATGGTATGAGCAGGGCTTCACCCAAAAATGAAAATTACTCACAAAAGGGCATCATTCAGGTGTTTGGATTGAAATGAGGATGAGTAAATAACAGTATTTTCATTTTTGGGAGATCTACTTCCACAACAGTAGATATGTTTACTTGCACCGATTTGAATGAATCCAATCTGATTTTAGATTCTGAAAATTGTGTTAATATGAACCATAAACATTGCAATCTGATTCACATGTTTGTTTGCATGTGCATTACATGTATTCCGAACAAAACTGAAGCATTCGTATGACACAAAACATGTAAAAAAAAAATGCATCATGGCACAGTGCAAGTACGTAAGGTATTTTTGAATCTGACTGAGAAAATAGTCTGATTAAAGCATTTACATGCTTCATTTTTTCCTGTTTATCGGATTATTTCAGCTTTCATCCGATCAAAATTTCATTCAGATCGAGCTCAGTCAGAACGATTGAGGTGTTTACATGACGGCTTTTCAATCTGATTGAGCAATCAATCCTATTATAAATGGGTTAAGTGCAAGTGAACTTAGCTACTGTAAAATCGGTCAGTGTCCTAAACATGGAGACACAGGAATGGCAGGATGTGAATTTGCTACAGAGCAGCAGAAGTGTGCATCAGGCTGACCTGTCAGAGAAAGGTCTCCCAGCAGATCCAGCAGTTCTCCTCCAGCTGACGCAGGCTTTGTGGGAACAGTTATTTGGATAACAGGTACCACATCATTACCTCCGAGTAGGTCTAATAAATCATTTGCCTGTAAAACAGGAAACACAGAACATTAGCATACAGTAAATATTTCACCACAGCTAAATATACCTCTTTATCTGCTCAACCATACCGGAGATATTTTTTCATTACTCTAGCACAGAGGTTCTCAAATCCATTCCTAAACGCTCCAATACTACTACGCGATGCATTTTGGATGTCTCCCTTATCTAGTACACCTGATTCAACTTATCAGATCATTAGTAGAGCGCTCAATGAACTAAACTGCCACTTCGAACAGCCAAACTGTAGAATAAAAAAAAAGTACATAATTCAACTGTAGATGAGGTATGCTCTTTAGGTATGCAGTATAAATGCATTCCCAGACACACTACATTCACCATATTGACAGCCTTTTGACCGCATTTCTTTGACCCATAACATGCTAATCAACATGAAAATAATTTACTCGGCCATTGTTCAAGCAGCACAATTCAACCTTGAGGAATAGTTTTCTGGATGCCTAAAATACTTGCGTTTGAGCTGCCCCACTCATAGTACTCTGCCATTTTTTTAGTCAGGTTAGATGCCATACTGAATTTAATGTGGATGAAATGCGGCTGTGAGGGATAGACTTATGTAACTTTCAAAACTGTTTAAGGGAGTTTCTGTCTACTGGAATTTTTTTTTTTTTTTTTAGAGGGGGGGGTGGAGACATCAGCTGAACAATCGCTATGTGCAATTCTTTTAACGCAGTGTACTTCTAGCAAAATAATGATGTGTCATGTATACTGGATTTTTGACATCCTGTTTTTTGCATAATGTGTATGAGGAAAATACACACATTTAGAGGCTGAATACATCGTCAGATTATGGAGATGCCTAAAATGTGCACTGGATTGGATTGAGAAACCATGCTCTAGAAACCCACCTGACTGGCTGGTTGAGTGATGCTGGGCAGATGTTTTGTGTCCAGTATGGTTGAATCTGTTTCTCCATTGGTCTGGACAATCTCTGCTGGGCCGTTAGTGGCTGTTTTCTCCATAATAGGCATGCGCTCTAGTAATGCAGGTCTTCATGGGAAAGAGGAAGAAGGAAAGTGAGGACAAACAAACTTAATTAAACGTTAAAATTAAGTGTGAAAAACATGAGTCTGGAACAGTAGGTAGCTCTTACCTCATGTGATCATATTTTTTGAAAAGTGCATTATATTCCACAGCTCTCTGCTGCAGCTCCACATCTATGCTGCTGCCGTATATCGACACCACTTTTTTAATTCGACTGCAGAGCAAATGGAAATAAATGGAAGATCAGGGCCTCATCCATTTGGGGACACAAAATCATTTCAAGAAAATACATCCTCATGCTTGTATCAAAAGTGACTCAGAACAGGTATGCTTACTTCATGCTGCTGAAACGGGTGGACAGCTTCATGATAGCAGTCAGGGAATAACCTCTCGTTACAGGGGTGGACAAGTTAGAAACGAGAAGACCTTCTAAAACATCCAGGACCTCATCTTCACTAACCTGTGACATGAAATCGGATACAACTGTTCTGCCTTCAAAATAAATGTGTATGTGTGGTTTGAAAGGCATACAGGGTATCTACCTGAATGGGTTCCTCCTCCTCACACTGGCCTGAGACCAACAGGTCTCCATACTCTCCTATGCACCAGGATGCCACTTGTACTAGAGGTTGCTATAGGAAAAGTTTGGCTTAGTTCACACAGACATAATTCTGTTGACATTTAGTCATCCAAATGTCATTCCAAACAATCCTTGAATGGGGTATGACGCATTCAGGGTCCAAATATGGTATACATTTCACTCTGTTGCTCACACAAAGCTTTTTTATGAGTTCAGAATACTTGGAATGTAGACACACAAGTTGCATGAACATTTTTCAACAGTTCCATGTCATTATATATTGGAGCTCAGCATCTGTCACCATTTACTTTCATACATTGAATGGAAAAGAGCAGCATGAACATTGCATTTGAAGGAAACCAAATCTGTCACATGGTTTTGGAAAAACATGAGAATTTACAGTTCATTTCTTGTATGAAACTAACAGATGGCAAGTTTTGCACTTTGGGTTCACAAGTTTAAAGTCCAGTGAAGAAAACGCAGTGTTAAGATGATTCTAACCTGAGAGATGTCATCCAGGAGGGCTTTGTAGAGTCTCTGTACAGTGTAGGCATGCATCTCTACACTATTTGTAATGAGCTGAATGAGGTTGGGCACAGAGTCATCCCGGACATAACTCCCTGCCTATAAAAGCAGATACAAAACAGGTACATCAGAACGTCATTTTAAACCACTCTGCCATCAAAAGAGAGCCATTTTGTCCATTTCCACCACAAATAACTTGGCTCTGGGCCTAAACAACTCTTAAAACGCTCCTAAATTCAGGCCCGAGGACAAGATAATGTCAGCAACAAATAACTGCTACTCAATCTGGAAAGACTACTGCAAAACTATATTAAATTATATTATTGTGGATGTTAAAATGTCCTCAAGACTTGCGTTTAATTGTGGGCAGGCTATGTCATCATTTGGCTCAAGTTAGTGGAAATGCAAACTGAAAGATGTCTGCAGATCCCTGGCCAAGCACTGGCCAAAAAAAACACCGTTTTGGTGGAACAACGGCATGAAATGACATACAGAACTCAAAACACACATCACCAAGACCAAGATTAAGAAATGCTGTCGGAGATAATAGGATCATGCTTTACACTCTACACTCAATATCATGAGTTAATCAGCAACCGTAACTAAACATTGTCTATTCCAAAGTGTACTTTAAATTGACATCAAGTGATACTCAAATTATCATGAATGTGATCTAGTTTAATGGTAGGAGTAAAGCAGATTATAGTAAGAAACAATGAGAGCAAGACATTTACCGTTGTCAAAACCCTCATAATGGTGTCTATGTGCCATCTTTTGGAGGGTGCATACCTGCAACAAACAAGTGTTAGATATATATGTGCAAACCAGCAGTCTAAAGCTTGCAAAATATAAAACCAAGTCACCAAGGCAAAAAGCATCAAACCAAGTAAATCTCTTTGAACACTCCTAATCAAATCCCTTTTAGTGCTGTCAGATATAAAAGTGTCAACAGAATCAGCTTCTGCCGATGGATCACTCATTTTATCATCACACAGCCATGAGTTGCTCTACAACTCACTTGAACAGCTCTTTATTTTTCAAGGGCTTGCTTACTGAATTTGATCGGATTCACTTAACTAGGCTTTTACACCATTTTAAAACTCTAACAGACTGCAGGCTTTCAAAAGGGCTGCAAGGACGTGCAACATGACTGTCATGCAAGGAAGTCGTTGGTGTTTCCCCTCACATGAGTTCTGCGCAACATGATTTGCATGATTTAACAATAAACAGCCTTACTTCTCTGCAGCCAGGAAGATCCCTGACGCGCAGTCCGCTTTGAAATCAGGGTCACAGGAGTCCAGGAAATACAGAAGCTCTTTCATCATGCCCCGGATGTTGTTGCCGTTAACCAGGGCAAAGCTCAGCTCCATTGCACGCCTGTGGAAGAACAAGCGTAATCAGTGGGGCTCATCCTCTTGTGCCATAATGGATATAAAAAGCCATACAGCCTGTACATAAATGACCTTTTAATGGACACATCAAGGTCTTTCAAGCAGTCCACGATAGTGCTTCGATGTCTCTGCACAGCATTGTGGTCTGTCTGCACAGTCTTCAGTAGAGAGGTCAATGCCACATATCTGATTCAGGGAGAGTAATAATGTCAAAGCCCTATCATTATGACAATCAAGTCTAGTGTGGGCAGCACATGAAATAAGCTATTTCAAGTCCACAGTAAAGCTGATGTCAGAGACTATGCGATCATCGTTTGTAAAACTCAGTCGATGGATCAACTCAAGGTCTTCATCACTCAACAGCATTAAACAGCTTTCTCTCTGGTCACTTTATCGATAGTGCTTCGATGTCTCTGCACAGCATTGTGGTCTGTCTGCACAGTCTTCAGTAGAGAGGTCAATGCCACATATCTGATTCAGGGAGAGTAATAATGTCAAAGCCCTATCATTATGACAATCAAGTCTAGTGTGGGCAGCACATGAAATAAGCTATTTCAAGTCCACAGTAAAGCTGATGTCAGAGACTATGCGATCATCGTTTGTAACACTCAGTCGATGGATCACTCAAGAGCATTAAACAGCTTTCTCTCTGGTCACTTTATAACCAAGCCTGAATGTCACACTTGCGTCAAAAGTCACATACCTGATGTTTTTGTCATTGTTGAGAAGAAAACGTCCCAAAATGTTAATTGCTAAAACCTGTAATAATATAAACAACAGCATTTTTAACCACTTTCTGCAGACACCTTTGAACATTATAAAATTGATATAAACCACTCACACAGCACCGCCAATCTAAGCAACTCACCCTTAGTCCACTCTCAGATTTGATGTCCATAATCGTAAGAACAGTTTCGTAGAGGATAGCATTGCCTACATTTTTACTTGTTTCTGTATTTGTTGCAACCTATTAAAAAAAATTTGATGGGAAATCTTTAGAAGGTAGAAAGAAAAAGTTATGTGGTTATAAAGTGGATATAATCATGCTGCTTACCTGTGCAAGAATGTCATTCATAGCTTCACTAGAATCATCATCACCCTTTCCCAGAATTCTCAGTAGCCTCAATATCCGTACCTTAAAAATGCCAAGAGACACAGTGTGGCCCAGAGGAGCTCATCAGATTGCTTTAGGCTATAATGAACAGGCATCACCTCATATGGGAAAAATGGATTGTAAACTTAAGGACCACTCTAAAAATCAATTTCTTGCAACTGACCAAACAAATGACATGAGGTACATTACAGAATTTAATTCACATCGACTGCAACATTAAAAATGCTAAGAGATTTTATTTTATGGAATGACGCTCAGAAAAATCCCATATCACTGAAAATGGTGTCCTAAAATAATGTCTCTGTGACAATCCTAAGTGTGGTAAAAGGGTTTAGCCAAATAATTGTTTTTTAAAAAAGGCACTTTCTACCTGTCACTCATTTAGCATGTTCATAGATCAGTCCATATAAGGGAAGCAGGAAGTTGAGAGAGCATGGTGAGATGAATCATTTAAGTAAAGTGCAGAGCAATTTTGAGTTTGTCATGGAAGAGTGCAATTTTGCTACCATTGCAAAACTACTACTGGACTAAAAGTTCTTTGTAGCCCTGGCTTTAGAAAAAGAGGGCGTGTCTCATTCAATAGCAGACAGCCAACGTCACTTAGTGCACTTTTAAATAGAGCAACACTGACAGGAGATGATGTGTCTTTACCTGCAGGAAAGGGTCACTGATGCCAGACACATCGTGCTCAGGGGAGTAGCCTGACATGATCAGGTTCTTCAGGATTCGTACAAGTTGTGGAACCAGCTAGAAAAAAAACAGTGGGAGAAGAAATTAAAGACTATCAGCAAAGTTACAGCAGGGTCGTAGAGATTTCAAAACAGGACAGCACATAAAAAGGGTCAGTAAGTGTAAATACACGTAGGCACCCCGAGTTGATCATCTTCCAATAGACTGGTTTCACTACACATTAAGACATGGAGGTCATGTCAGTGTTTATTGTAATTGTTTGGTACTTTTTCTATGTGTATTAACATGATCCTTATTAATTTGGCAAAAGTCTCCATTTCATATGCGCCCCCACTATAATGTACATATTGGAAAAACCACAACCCAATAGTGACCGTATGAAAGAGAAATTAATCTAAAGGTAAACGCAGGACAAGTGAAAATGTATATGATGTCAAAAACCAAAAAAGAAAACACTTAAATGACAACAATTGCAAAAAAACGAGAAAAAAAAAACAGTACATAAAAACCAAAAATTGGACTATATCTACAGTTGATCCTTATTAATTTGGCAAAAGTCTCCATTTCATATGTGCCCCCACTTTAATGTACATATTGGAAAAACCACAACCCAATAGTGACCGTATGAAAGAGAAATTAATCTAAAGGTAAACGCAGGACAAGTGAAAATGTATATGAGGTCTACGTAATCCTGAATAAAAACCAAAGAAAACACTTAAATGACAACAATTGCAAAATAAACAGTACATCAAAACCAAAAATTGGACTACATCTACAGTGACCATGATGATACTTTTTTTTGGTTTGTTTTCTTTAAGCATGCACCAGCTATGAAACCAGAATGTCCTCTTACCTTCTCATTCTAACACAATGCAGGAATTGTAACAAAGACAAATGACAGAAAAAATATGAAGTAGATGTTAGGGGGGAATTGGAAAAAAGAGTCACTTTCAGAGAAGAGCTTAACATAATGCTACGGTTATGAGCATGAGAGGTGGGCGTGCTGGCACAGTAGATCAGGCTGGGGGTGGGAAGAGTAGAAGCAGATACACAGAGAGGAAGAACCCGTATTCATCTCCCAGTGAGATAACCACACCTGCAGCTAAATCCAGGACAAGCATCCAGATTTCAGTAAGGACTACAGTCTCATTTCAGTAGTCATGTCAACGCTATCAGCAACAGATAAAGAGTGCTTTTGTCTCAGAGTGGCTGATGTGGTGCATAAACAGTTTTAGAGGTCACTGCAGAAGGTCAAGGTATGAACGCTTGCTACGCACCTTCCTGAAGTGAGAGAGCATGTCAGGACTTCGCTCACACATTTCAGTGAGCAGAACAACAGACGTGTGGAGAACTCCTGCAGAAAACACAGAACAATACATCGATTTCCTTATCAGATTTCATTTTATAACTCATGAGCAAGTTTGTTTACATTAGGAAAATCAACAACAAACCAATATTCTCCTGTTTCTGCTGAATGTGAAAGACTGACTTAAATCTTAATGTATGAAAAAAGCGAATGTTTGCTAAAGCTTAACAGGGGACTCACATTTTACATGAGAGCGTCAACTTCGCATTTTAACATTTAAACAAATTCATAATCAATTTAAACAATATTACCAAGAAAACATGTAATGCTTAGAACATTAGATTAGAAAAAAAAAGAAATTTTCCCATTTTAGAAGTTGGCAGCATCCACCTTAAATCAAACCACCAAGTTCACTTAATTGTGATATTGCAATTACAGAAAACAAACTAATGCGATTTCAATCTTTCAAAAACTTTAATTTTTAATTTAACATGCATTAATTTTTCCCAATTTGTTAAGACATATATGATGGAAATGTACGACTTAGCAGGAATGATGCATCTGTAAATTAATTTTTAAGGACAATAAAATGAGACCTATGGGAAAGGTTAAAGAGCAGCTCTCACCATGATTTTTCTCGCTGAGCAGGTTTTTTGTTGCTGGCAGGAACATCTCCATCAGCTCCGGGACTTTGCGGATGACGTGAACTGCACACAGAGCTGCCTGAGGGCAAAGAGCTCATGTCAAAACCGTTCACACATTCAGAGCTCGACATGCAACTGGACATGAAGTCCACGTTCAGCTGTGAAGGAGTGTGAAATACCTTTTTCCTCAGATAGGAGTTTGACGTTTTGAGGAGTTTCTCCACTTCTCCAGCTAAGTCACGGCACATTTCGGATGAGCCCATGCAGCCCAGGGTGCACAAGGCCAGTCCCTGCACATACTGTGTACTGTGGTTCAAGTCACTGCAGACAGAACATTAGATGTAGAGGATGCACAGAAATGTATACCATCATTTAAGGCAATGTATATATACACATTTGTCCATTTTTAGGACAGAAAAATATTTCAAGTTTTAAAACATACTTTTATGTTAAAAGCTGTGCATTCAATCAAACACTGATATTTTGGTTAAAATTCATCTAGTTAGAACTGACAGCATCAAAGCGACCAAAGTCATTCATTTTCAACAAAAGTAGGAAATTACATGCTCAACTGTTTGAACTACAGCAGGGATGCCCAACCCTGCTCCTGGCGATCGACTGTCCTGCAAAGTTTAGCTCCAACTCTAATCAAAGACACCTGCCTTTAATTTTTAAGTGATCCTGAAGACCCTAATTAGTTGCTTCAGGTGTGTTTGATTAGGGTTGGAGCTGAACTTTGCAGGACAGTCGATCGCCATGAGCAGGGTTGGGCACCCCTGAACTACAGGAATGTTACATGGTGGTAGCAACACCAAGGTCATGGGTTTAATTCCAAGGGAACGCACAAGCTGATAAAAACGTATACACTGAATGCAATGCAAGTTGCATTAAATAAATGCATCTGCCAAAACACAAAACATGGTTCGTTCTGACCACAATGTGTTTTATGCAGTGAGTTATTGGTTGCTGAGAGCATGAAACTATCGAATTTAAGCAATAGACAAATTGTAAATTTTCATTTTCAGTCATAGATTTGGTATCACGTTGGGTCACCGCTTGACGTTCAATGTAAAATCTGCGTGCCCAAGAAAATCTGTTGAGATAATGACAATAACATGGGGACTGGTTTGGCTTTTTCTTTTTTTTTTTTTTTTTTTTAAGAAATTAAGATGTGCAATAAGATGTTTGGGAGACACTAAATAGAACAAAGAAAGAAATGCAATTTAAAATGCTATCACACTGAGGAAGCAGCTCCCAATCATCCTGCACTTTACACTCTCCACCTACAAGTGTCACATTAAACTCATCGAGACCCAAACCCAAACCCAGAATGTTTTTTTTTTTTAATGATACGGCGACCACCGACACCATAAGAGTTAAAAACACAAATAAACGCACAACCATTTGCACTCCATATCGAAAAAATACATGAACGTGCTGTTGCACCTCTGATAACTTTTTAAGGCTTATTCTGCTGCGATTATATAAGCCTTTTGACGGGTTGTATCATGGAGCTGTAAAAATGGTTATACTCACTAAGTGAATGAATCGCGTTTGTGCCGAACTCTACAATGAACTCTTTCTGGATCATCTCTCGCTCCTCGGCCTGGGTTCGAGCCGTCCGGATTGTCCGGATCAGCTCCCGCAGTCTGATCGGAGCTGGCATCCTCTGCAATGAAAGCACAGGTCAGCCAGTGGAGTGTCACAGCAGCACCAATATATGTGCCACTAAGACAAATGATGATTTATACAATGCTTGCATTTGCCAGAGCAACATGAGATCAAATGACCATGAAACACCATAGAGTTAAAAACACAAATAAACGCACAACCATTTGCACTCCATATCGAAAACATACATGAACGTGCTGTTGCACCTCTGATAACTTTTTAAGGCTTATTCTGCTGCGATTATATAAGCCTTTTGACGGGTTGTATCATGGAGCTGTAAAAATGGTTATACTCACTAAGTGAATGAATCGCGTTTGTGCCGAACTCTACAATGAACTCTCCTTCGATTCATGAACGTTTCTCTCAGATAATGTACGCAATCTCACAATCTGAAGAGTCTGTCATAGCAAATCAACACATGCTGTTGTGAATAATTAAGCGAAGCATCTTCTCATAGGATAAGAACACGCAGTCTCA